TTTTCGTAATGTTACGACTTTATTCTCGTAATGTTACTTATTTATTCTCGTGATTTTACTTTATTTTCGTAATGTTACGACTTTATTCTCGTAATGTTAATTTATTCTCGTGATTTTACTTCTTTATTTTCGTAATGTTACGACTTTATTCTCGTAATGTTAATTTATTCTCGTGATTTTACTTCTTTATTTTCGTAATGTTACGACTTTATTCTCGTAATGTTAATTTATTCTCGTGATTTTACTTCTTTATTTTCGTAATGTTACGACTTTATTCTGGTAATGTTAATTTATTCTCGTGATTTAACTTCTTTATTTTCGTAATGTTACGACTTTATTCTCGTAATGTTAATTTTCTCCTCGTGATTTTACTTCTTTATTTTGGTAATGTTACACCTTTATTCTCGTAATGTTAATTTATTCTCATAATTTTACTTCATTATTTTCGTAATGTTACGACTTTATTCTCGTAATGTTGATCTATTCTCGTGATTTTACTTATTTATTTTCGTAATGTTACGACTTTATTCTCGTAATGTTAATTTATTCTCGTGATTTTAGTTCTTTATTTTCGTAATGTTACGACTTTATTCTCGTAATGTAAATTTATTCTCATGATTTAAGTTCTTTATTTTCGTAATGTTACGACTTTATTCTCGTAATGTTAATTTTCTCCTCGTGATTTTACTTCTTTATTTTGGTAATGTTACAACTTTATTCTCGTAATGTTAATTTATTCTCATAATTTTACTTCATTATTTTCGTAATGTTACGACTTTATTCTCGTAATGTTAATCTATTCTCGTGATTTTACTTATTTATTTTCGTAATGTTACGACTTTATTCTCGTAATGTTAATTTATTCTCGTGATTTTACTTCTTTATTTTCGTAATTTTACGACTTTATTCTCGTAATGTTAATTTATTCTCTTGATTTTACTTCTTTATTTTCGTAATGTTACGACTTTATTCTCGTAGTGTTAATTTATTCTCGTGATTTTACTTATTTATTTTCGTAATGTTACGACTTTATTCTCGTAATGTTAATTTATTCTCGTGATTTTACTTTATTTTCGTAATGTTACGACTTTATTCTCGTAATGTTAATTTATTCTCGTGATTTTACTTATTTATTTTCGTAATGTTACGACTTTATTCTTGTAATGTTAATTTATTCTCGTGATTTTACTTCTTTATTTTGGTAATGTTACAACTTTATTCTCGTAATGTTAATTTATTCTCATAATTTTACTTCATTATTTTCGTAATGTTACGACTTTATTCTCGTAATGTTAATCTATTCTCGTGATTTTAGTTCTTTATTTTCGTAATGTTACGACTTTATTCTCGTAATGTTAATTTATTCTCATGATTTTAGTTCTTTATTTTCGTAATGTTACGACTTTATTCTCGTAATGTTAATCTATTCTCGTGATTTTACTTATTTATTTTCGTAATGTTACGACTTTATTCTCGTAATGTTAATTTATTCTCGTGATTTTAGTTCTTTATTTTCGTAATGTTACGACTTTATTCTCGTAATGTAAATTTATTCTCATGATTTTAGTTCTTTATTTTCGTAATGTTACGACTTTATTCTCGTAATGTTAATTTTCTCCTCGTGATTTTACTTCTTTATTTTGGTAATGTTACAACTTTATTCTCGTAATGTTAATTTATTCTCATAATTTTACTTCATTATTTTCGTAATGTTACGACTTTATTCTCGTAATGTTAATCTATTCTCGTGATTTTACTTATTTATTTTCGTAATGTTACGACTTTATTCTCGTAATGTTAATTTATTCTCGTGATTTTACTTCTTTATTTTCGTAATTTTAGGACTTTATTCTCGTAATGTTAATTTATTCTCTTGATTTTACTTCTTTATTTTCGTAATGTTACGACTTTATTCTCGTAATGTTAATTTATTCTCGTGATTTTACTTATTTATTTTCGTAATGTTACGACTTTATTCTCGTAATGTTAATTTATTCTCGTGATTTTACTTTATTTTCGTAATGTTACGACTTTATTCTCGTAATGTTAATTTATTCTCGTGATTTTACTTCTTTATTTTCGTAATGTTACGACTTTATTCTCGTAATGTTAATTTATTCTCGTGATTTTACTTCTTTATTTTCGTAATTTTACGACTTTATTCTCGTAATGTTAATTTATTCTCTTGATTTTACTTCTTTATTTTCGTAATGTTACGACTTTATTCTCGTAATGTTAATTTATTCTCGTGATTTTACTTATTTATTTTCGTAATGTTACGACTTTATTCTCGTAATGTTAATTTATTCTCGTGATTTTACTTTATTTTCGTAATGTTACGACTTTATTCTCGTAATGTTAATTTATTCTCGTGATTTTACTTCTTTATTTTCGTAATGTTACGACTTTATTCTCGTAATGTTAATTTATTCTCGTGATTTAACTTCTTTATTTTCGTAATGTTACGACTTTATTCTCGTAATGTTAATTTATTCTCGTAATTTTATTTCTTTATTTTCGTAATGTTACTACTTTAGTCTCGTAATGTTAATTTATTCTCGTGATTTTAATACTTTATTTTCATAATGTTACGACTTTATTCTCGTAATGTTACTTATTTATTCTTGTAATTTTACTTCTTTATTTTCGTAATGTTATGAAAAATTTATTTCTTTAGAAGGGTGGTGATTTTTGTGTATTTTTTTTAAATTCATGAACATGGGCGATGCAAGATGGTCATATATGGAAGGCCACAATGTATAAAGAAATACTTGAGTTCTGACTTCTTTCTAGGAATTCTGAATTTAATCCCAGAATTCTGACTTTAATAACATAATTCTGTCGCTTAGTAAACTAGCTCCACCTGCCAGCGGCCAAAATCATGTTTGCCTGCGAGTTTCGTCTAGCCTCGATCAATGCCTCAGGCCCTAGAACTGGCGGGCCAATCACAATGCAGAGATGTGTTTTGAATTTCTGGATGCAGAGTGGGTGGGATTTTGAGGGCGTGACGACAAAGCTGCGCGACGCTGGAGAAGCACAACAAGGAAGATGGCAACAACTATTGAACAGTTCTCCTTTGAATCAGCTTTGGAATCAGTTCTGGAAGGATTAGACTTTGGGGTTTTCATTGAAACGTGAGCAGGAAGAGGCTCTACGCTCATTCATCTTTAAAAGGACGTATTTGCCGTTTTACCGACAGGTTGTTTATTTACGCTCCCCCACCAGCTTTCTGTCACGCTTCCTGCGTCACAGTCAGTTGCGCTCATTGGTCAGAGCGTTGGCCAATAGGCATAGACGTAGTTTCGAAAACAACGGGTTGTTCTCATCAACAATCTTCTGATGTCTCATTCATCGGGGCCAGACTAGATTACACATTTAATCTACCATTTAGTCTGGTTTATCAGACTAAGAATTCTGACTTTTTCTCAAAATTCTGACTTTTTCTCTTTTTTAGGAACAGGCCCACTAAAAAAAAGTAAGCAGATTTTTTTTTAATTGAATTTACTTTAATATGAGAAAAAATTAAGAATTCTGAGGAAAAAAGTCAAAATTCTAAGAATAAAGGCACAATTCTGTAGCCTCGTGAGACCATCCTGTTCTCGCGCGCTTTCAAGGTTTCACTCGCAGATCAGTATGGCTAGTTTCTGTTAAATAAAATTTGGAGACGTTCACCAAACGAACGTCCAATCAGCGTTGGCTTTGAGGCGGGTTGAGGTTTGACGCAACGAGAAGCGCGACAGTTCAGTCTAAAGAACATGGCGGCTTCAGCCGATGAAACTAGCGTTAGCGTGGCTATCGAGCAAGTTTTATTGGAATTACAGAGTATTTCTTCACTGAAAGAAGAGCAAAACACTGCTCTGGAGGCTTTTCTCGGAGGAAAAGATGTTTTTGCTCTTCTCCCGACTGGTTTCGGCAAGAGTAGCCTGGCTTGTGGTTGTGTTTTCGTCGTCGCTCTGTTAGTACGTCATATGCTTCGTTGATCTGATTGGTTTATTTGGCCCGTCTATCACCAACATAGGCCAATCAGCTAACCAGTATTTTCGCCCCTTCCCAAAATTACTTCAACGGAAGGTTTCCAGATGGATATGCAGAGCAAATCCATCTGGCGGAGTCAGGTTAAGAATTCTGACCTTTTCTCAGAATTCTGAATTTAATCTCAGAATTCTGACTTTTTTCTCTTTGTTAGGATTAGGCCCACTAAAAAAAAAAGTTGGCAGATTTTTTTTTTAATGAATTTATTTTAATATGAGAAAAAAAGGAAAAAAAAATCTGAGATTAAAGTAAAAATTCTAAGAATAAAGGCATAAATTCTGACTTTTTTCCCCATAGAAAAATATTAAACAAAATAAAAAAATTTTAAACTTTTTTTCCAGTTGCCCCAATCCTCCTCAGTGCCATTGAAATAAAGATAATGAATTAAAGTGTATAAAAAAAAAACAAGTAAATATATTATAGAGTATAAAAAGAACAAATAATAATAAAAAAATGTTTAAAAATAAATACAATTACTTCAGTTTATCTTTAAGAAATAAATACAGTCTATATATTTTAAGGGGTCAACAGTCTGTAAGGTTATTTTTAGGATAAACGCTCTAAACTAGTTGATCAAACTCTTATCTACAGAAAGACAAAGTTTAAATCAGCTGGACTTATTCTGGACAAGGAACCAAGTCTGTTCCTCCATCATTCACAGCGAACATGACGGTCGGCGCCGCTGCTGGTATTTTAAAGTCAGGGCTGGTTTCTCCGATTGGTTACTTTCTCTGATCATTTTAGACGAGAAGCATCAGTTTATCAGTAGGCAGTAATGAGCTGGCTGGTTTCCGTCTGCTTCTCCGCCTCTAGACATAAAGAGTTCATCGAAAGGGAACAATTCGCCGCCTCATCGTTACATGTATCGGCTCCGGCGCCATCAACACCTTTTATTTGCTGTTAGACTGAATAATAAGACACTATGGCTTTAATTTAATAAAAGCAGAGGGGTAACAGGGGGACAGTACTTGTTGTTCTTATTCTTGGCTCTCTGTGAAATCCACTTGTGGTAGTATGATGATTTGACTTTGTAGCAATAGAAGAGCAGCAAGACAGCAGGGAGGACCACGAGGAAGCCAAAGAGCAGACCCACCACCAAACCCACTTGACCTGTGGAAACAAACAGAGACACAAACACGGCTTTAAAACAACCGTATCAAACAGAAACGAAAAGAAACATCTCTGAGAGTAACAGGGTCCATTTCAGACAGGCCGCTCCGATGTGCTGTGAAACCCAACATATTAAACAGCTTGCTCTGTGTGAAGCGAGGTCAAAGTTCAACATGGGTAAACTTTGATATGATGAATAAACGCGTGACAAACGGAAACCAGGGCTGACCACTATATAGCGGTTATGGCATTTTAAGCGAGGGTCAAAAACGTCTAGAGGATGACAAAGTACTGGACTTGAAATTTCCCACAATGCACCTTGAAAAGATGCATTACCAAATTACCGATTGTTAGCAATTCAACCCATGTTTGAAAAACCTGCGTTAACCCGCTATTTTCAGCGGGAAAGAGGCTTTAGGTTCTTATGCACATAAAGCCAGATGCCTGCTTCCCTGTTCTTTTCCTCGGACAGCTTGGAGAACTGGATGAAATCAAGATGGCGGATGGGTTTTCTTTTCTTAATAAAGGTAGAGAATCTCCGTGCGGTGTGTCCCTGGCTCCTCCTGGTCCCTCTGTCCCATCAGAAAATGCTTTTTCACAAAGCAAATCATCTTCGATTGGTTGACAATCAGCGTCCGACAGCAAAGGTTCTGATTTTCCGCTAAGGAGGCGTGTAGCACATGGGAAGCTTCAAAACTCGCATTTTGACTTTGAATGTCAACTAGATATGTTTGATGTTTAAAACACATTTGGTCGCAACGTGGCATAAACAAAACAAAAGCATGAAGAGCTAGGAGTTTAGAGATAAAAAAAAAAAAACTAACTTGTCCTTTTTGCATATTTCTGGTTTAAACATTTTATATTAATTATATTACTGCAATCCCAATAAATAAAAGCAACATCAGAATAAAGCGTATTGACTCACTGTAGCTCTGCACCGGTCCGCTGTCCACGCTGCCGCCCAGTCCAGGCTTCTCGCAGAACGGCGGCGCCCAGCCTTTGTTACAGTGACAGTTCCCGTTGCTGTTACACACCTGCAGAGGACGGACACAAGGCAGGGCTCAACGATTCACACTTTATCATGCGAGTCTCTGGAAATGAACGCTGCTGATGAACAATTCATTTAAATTTGGTAATGATCAGATCATGAGCCAGTTTTAGCTATAGGGGAACAGTAGCAGCCATTCAAAATGGTCATTTCCAGTCAAACGCCAGCCGAATGGCAGCAACACTTCCAACAATTATCCCCTCCGACTTCCAGCCACTGGCCTTCTCCTGGGCAGCCATATTTTTTTACTATGACTTTTTCACTGAATTACAGGGTCTGACCAGGAGATGGCGCTTCTCTTTAGATCTTAATGTCCACAAATCATGACAGAAAGAATATTTTAGTACAAATATTGATGTTTACAAATAATTAAAGGGGACCAGCCAAGGGCCAGCCTAGGATCAGCCAAGGCCACTCTATAAAAGCTCTAGAATTTCTCAGAAGTATGGAAGTAAATCCGTGTCGCTGGGATTTGAATTAAAAATGCCACTGAAATTTAAATGTATGTTTGTTTTAACTGTTTCAGTGTTAAAATATATTCAGAACACATTTTAGACCTAAAAAAAATGTATTGTCATTATTTCTACACAGTTGAAATTTAATTTATTTTCTCTTCAAGCTAAAAATTCACATTACTATTTCAAAGTGATTAAATTTTCAATATTTATTTTTCAGTTTAATTTTTCAGTGTTAAAAAAAATCTGTATATAAAAAAATTCAACCTCAATATTTTCAGCCTCCTGAGATTCAACTGGCTCTATTTCACCGTCTTAAATTCGGCGTCTAAAGCGTCACGTCGTGTGACTAAGAAAACGTAACGGGATTGGCTGGGTGTTGGACGCCACAATCCATCGCTAATGTCTGTGACCTGAAGTAACCCTTCCCTTTTTACACTGAATTTAGACGCCGAATTTAAGACGGTGAAATAGAGCCGGTTGAATCTCAGGAGGCTGAAAATATTGAGTTTGAATTTTGAAAGGTTGAATTTTTTTATATGCAGATTTTTTTAACACTGAAAAATAAATATTGAAAATGTAATCACTTTGAAATAGTAATGTGAATTTTTAGCTTGAAGAGAAAATAAATGAAATTTCAGCTGTGTAGAAATAATGACAATTATTTTTTTTTTTAGGTCAAAAATGTGTTCTGAATATATTTTAACACTGAAACAGTAAGTACAAACATACAACATTTAAATTTCAGTGCAGAAGGATTCAACTTTATTTATTCTTTGGGATAGATAAAGTTGAGTCTAAGTCTAAGGTAAATAACCTTAGGATTTGCAGGGGTCAAAACCTTTTAACTGCTTACAGCTTTTAACAGGTTTCTCTCTCACATGTTTTGTGCTTTTTGATGAATTTCTATGTAGGATGAAAACCTGGAGAAGCTCTTGTGTAGCTTAGTTCCCCTTTTAATTAACATGCATATAAATTGGCCTCCAAAAGCCGTAGGATCAAGAGTTAATATTAAATCAAAATACACTCTAAGACTAGAGCATGGTCTGAGCTAGGAGGAGGGAACATTTATATTTAGACCATTCCTTGCCTTAAGTCATTTCCATTATGCATGTATTGTTAGACAGGGACAAAAAGAGGACAGGCATCATATAATAACAAAGAGGAAAGAAAAGGTCGGAGGTTTTCAGTTTTACTCATTATTCAGAATCCTAGTTTATTAACTTGGTTAGCGTCAGAGCTTCATCTCCCCTACAGTGAAACAGAGGAGGAGAAAAATCAAGGTTTTTCTAATGTTTTTAAATCATGAAATCTCAGCTTTAATTGGCGAGGGTTGAAACGAGCAGAAGAAAAGCTTAAAACACAAAGTAGGTCATGGAAAAAGGGCTTCAACTGATTCATCTAGATGGCACAAAGGAAGCATGTGATCTAAAATAAAACATTTATATCAGTTTCTACTGTAGGTTTTTTGGAAACAAATCCTTCACAGAAATCTGTCCTTATTACACATTCTACTTAGATTGTTATTAGATGCTGGTGAAGATTCTCAGTCATTCAGGTCAAAGTCATTCAAAAACAATCCACTGGACATTATTTCTGTTAGAAATATTTTATTTATACTCCGTTTGTGTTTCATGGGTTGTGTTCTAATGAACTATTATGATGTATAATGTGTGATTCATCTTTTATTAACTCAGCCTCTATTAACAGCCTCTATCACATGTTTCTTCTAAACATGTGTTCTTGGAACAATTCAGTTTTAAAATATGTGCTGAGGTTTAAAGTAAGATCATTGTGTTTCCCTTTCCCTTTAGTTAAACCTCAGCTGGTGTAATTAGGGACACCCCCTTTTCTTCAATAAATGGCGAGCAGAAAGCTGAAGACTGCAGAGTGGGTTGGAGATTTGTAAACTCTGCAGTCTCCTTCCTATTCTCCTCGCGAGTAACTAAATTAATTGTCTCTGTGCTTTCTTTCTTTCCCTGTATGTATGTATGATGTTTTAGGTGCTTAGACCTGACAGTTTCCAAGTTTAAAGACGTTTTGTTTCCCATCCAGGAAGCTGTTTCAATTCAAAATATCAGAAATAGCGTCGAGTCGACTTTGGAATTGGGGTCGTTTGGCTTCTTTGTTAGCCTGCAATGCCCCATACCTGTCTATGTCTCTGAAAGGGGGGTCGTTAGAGGGAATTGTTGGCCTGGCTGAATAGGGGAGGTCTTCTGTTCCCCTGTAAAGGGGGATTATTCGCCTGTTGGTATTTAGAAAAATAGTTTCATCCAGAGAATTCATTTCTTTGGGGTTGGACTCGGTGCTGCCCCAACCTGTTGTTCACCTCATACCAAAAGAAATAGTTTTTCCAGATGATGCAAAGTTAAATTTGACACTTTTACCACTTGATATAAAACTTATAAAAAATGAAGTCTAAGGAAGTTTTAATCCAGAATTGTAGAAAAATGTTCCTTTAATCGGGTAGTGCAGTAAAGCTTCTGGCCTTAACAGTTTTCCTGCATTACTTTACTTTTATACTTTTTTTTTTAAATGGTACTTTTACACTTTTGGTTGCTTAAAACTCTTAAATTGATCCTCTATCTTCTACAAAAGTCCTTTTTAAACAGCAGGATTTAGACTTCTACACTGCAAAAAAGGAAAATCTATACAAGTGTAATGAACTTGAATTAAGTATTTTGGTCTTATTATGCTTGTTTTTCAATGTTTTTTCTTAGTAAGACTGAATATTGTTAAGATTATTTGACTTGTTTTAAGAAAATTCATTTTTTTAATCCTACCTAGATAATAAAATTAATTCTTTCGCTTAATTCTGTGACATTTCTGCTAAAATATTAATTAAAAAAAACGTTTTGATGTTTTTGTGTATTTTTCCCATACATTCACTACAGCTAAATAATGAAATGAATTCTAGCTAAGAAAAACAGTTTTAAGCCTTTAAATGAACTGGTATCAAGTTGCCTTGTTTTTAAGCCTGTTGTTTGCTTGTTTTGAGCAATAATTGGTTAGAGGACATTTAATTCTAAGCAATAATGACTAATAAATGAGAATACATTGCTTAAAATAAGAGAAAAAATTTTAACAAGTAAAAGAAGAAGTAGATTTTTCTACTTGATTTAAGTTTTTTTGGATGCTTACTACTCGGATATTATGTTCTTGTTTTAAGAAATCTTACCAAGTCTCATTTGCTTGCAGCACTGGCAGATTATTTTGCTCAAAATAAGCAATTATTCACTTAAAACACAATTTTTTTTTCTTATTTTTTAGTTGTCTTATTTTTTTTGTTGTGTACTGGAATAATAAACAATAAACAATTTTAATCTAGACAAGTCATTTTTTCTTAAATGAAGTGCATTTATTCTTGGATTTAGTAGGTAAAAGAGACATTTTGTGAATGGAACAAGACAATTTACACTTAAAATAAGAAAACACAATTGCATTTTCCTATTTCTAGTGCACGTTATCTAATTATCTTATTTTAAGAGTAAAAATACTAATTCCGTTGGCAAACTATCTTATTTACCTGCTCAAATTAAGGGGAAATACATTTAATTTAAGACATTTTTACTTATTTCTAGATTGTTTTTTCATTGTAACTTTGCAAACGGGTTTAGATCATTTACATTTAAAAAATGTGGAAAAAATCAAAATCTAGAGTCAATTTTTTCTTAAAATAAGTGCATTTGCTCTTGAATTAAGGTAGTAAAAGAGACATCTTGCCAATGGAACAAGGCAGTTTACACTTAGAATAAGAAAACAGAATAGCATTGTTTAATTTCAAGTGCATATTATCTAATTATCTTATTTATCAGAGTAAAAATACTCTTTCCACTGGCAAACTATCTTATTTACCTACTCAAATTAAGGGGAAATACATTTAATTTAGGACATTTTTACTTATTTCTAGATCGTTTTCCAGTGAAAAAAGGAAAAAACATCTGCAGACTCTCATTTCAAGAGCATAATATCTAAATCTCTTATTTTAAGGTGAAACCAACTCATTCTGTTGGCATATCACCTTATTTATTCACTCAAATAAAGAGTATATACACTTATTCTAAGAAGGTTTTACTCTTTTTTAGATCGTTTTTGCATTTTATTTTTAAAGATCCCTCAGGGAACTTTTAATGTTGGCTACACTGGAAAAACGATCTAGAAATAAGTAAAAATTCTTTAAATTGAATGTATTTACCCTTAATTTGAGTAGGTAAATGAGATAGTTTGCCAACGGAATCAGGATTTTACTCTTAAAATAAGATAATTAGATAATATGCACTTGAAATAAGGCAATTTAATTGAGTTATATTATTTTAAGTGTAAATTGTCTTGTTCCATTGGCAAAATGTCTCTTTTACCTCCTCAAATTAAGGGGAAATACATTTAATTTAGGACATTTTTACTTATTTCTAGATCGTTTTCCAGTGAAAAAAGGAAAAAACATCTGCAGACTCTCATTTCAAGAGCATAATATCTAAATCTCTTATTTTAAGGTGAAACCAACTCATTCCGTTGGCATATCACCTTATTTATTCACTCAAATAAAGAGTATATACACTTATTCTAAGAAGGTTTTACTCTTTTTTTAGATCGTTTTTGCATTTTATTTTTCAAGATCCCTCAGGGAACTTTTAATGTTGGCTACACTGGAAAAACGATCTAGAAATAAGTAAAAATTCTTTAAATTGAATGTATTTACCCTTAATTTGAGCAGGTAAATAAGATAGTTTGCCAATGGAATCAGTATTTTTACTCTTAAAATAAGATAATTAGATAATATACACTTGAAATAAGACAATTTAATTGAGTTCTATTCTTTTAAGTGTAAATTGTCTTGTTCCATTGGCAAAATGTCTCTTTTACCTCCTCAAATTAAGGGGAAATACATTTAATTTAGGACATTTTTACTGATTTCTAGATCGTTTTCCAGTGAAAAAAGGAAAAAACATCTGCAGACTCTCATTTAAAGAGCATAATATCTAAATCTCTTATTTTAAGGTGAAACCAACTCATTCCATTGGAATATCACCTTATTTATTCACTCAAATAAAGAGTATATACACTTATTCTAAGAAGGTTTTACTCTTATTTAGATCGTTTTTGCATTTTATTTTTAAAGATCCCTCAGGGAACTTTTAATGTTGGCTACACTGGAAAAACGATCTAGAAATAAGTAAAAATTCTTTAAATTGAATGTATTTACCCTTAATTTGAGTAGGTAAATGAGATAGTTTGCCAACGGAATCAGTATTTTTACTCTTAAAATAAGATAATTAGATAATATGCACTTGAAATAAGGCAATTTAATTGAGTTATATTATTTTAAGTGTAAATTGTCTTGTTCCATTGGCAAAATGTCTCTTTTACCTCCTCAAATTAAGGGGAAATACATTTAATTTAGGACATTTTTACTTATTTCTAGATCGTTTTCCAGTGAAAAAAGGAAAAAACATCTGCAGACTCTCATTTAAAGAGCATAATATCTAAATCTCTTATTTTAAGGTGAAACCAACTCATTCCGTTGGCATATCACCTTATTTATTCACTCAAATAAAGAGTATATACACTTATTCTAAGAAGGTTTTACTCTTTTTTTAGATCATTTTTGCATTTTATTTTTCAAGATCCCTCAGGGAACTTTAAATGGAGGCTATACGCCATTCTACACTGTAAAAACGATCTAGAAATGAGTAAAACATGTCTTAAAATTAATAAAAAATTCCTTAAATTAAGTGTATTTACCCTTAATTTGAGCAGTTAAATGAGAACGGAATGAGCAATTTTACTCTTAAAATAAGATAATTAGATAACATACACTTGAAATAAGACAATACAATTGTGTTTTATTATTTTAAGTGTAAATTGTCTTGTTCCTTTGGCAAAATGTCTCTTTTACCTCCTCAAATTAAGGGGAAATACATTTAATTTAGGACATTTTTACTTATTTCTAGATCGTTTTCCAGTGAAAAAAGGAAAAAACATCTGCAGACTCTCATTTCAAGAGCATAATATCTAAATCTCTTATTTTAAGGTGAAACCAACTCATTCTGTTGGCATATCACCTTATTTATTCACTCAAATAAAAAGTATATACACTTATTCTAAGAAGGTTTTACTCTTTTTTTAGATCGTTTTTGCATTTTATTTTTCAAGATCCCTCAGGGAACTTTTAATGGTGGCTACACTGGAAAAACGATCTAGAAATAAGTAAAATTTCTTTAAATTGAATGTATTTACCCTTAATTTGAGCAGGTAAATGAGATAGTTTGCCAATGGAATGAGTATTTTTACTCTTAAAATAAAATAATTAGATAATATACACTTGAAATAAGACAATACAATTGGGTTTTATTATTTTAAGTGTAAATTGTCTTGTTCCATTGGCAAAATGTCTCTTTTACCTCCTCAATTCAAGAACAAATGCACTTATTTTAAGAAAAATGACTTATCTAGATTTGGATTTTTTCCATTCTATAAGCTGGGAGGTCAAATTCCTTATTAAATCAGCCTTATCTCATGGTAAAGAAAAAGATGGCCTCAGCCCCTTCTCTCCAAAACGTGCTTACAGACTCATAAACTATGCATGCTCCCTTCTTATCTGCCCCAAGCCTGCTTGTACTGTTCTAATGAATAGTTCATCACCGCTGCGTTCCAGTCATCTATTTTCCTGACTTTAACAACAGACTTGGTGAAAAGCTCTGCAGAGCTCTACCTTTTGCCCAAGGACACAGCGAGACAACAAGATTAGCTGGATGTGCCTGGAAACTGAGCATGTTTCATGACGCATCGGGGATTTCTGCGTGTCTGAGAGTGTGCGGTTACCCCATTGCCGTGGCAATTTGCAAGGCAGGACTCCAGCTCGGTAAAGGAGGCGTTTTGGCATCTGCGGTCTCTGCACACCTGTAGGAACACAAGCAGAAAGATCCCAGAGTTACGAAGCTGACGGCAGACACTCCAGCAGGCTTTGATCAGCCGTCTGTTTGCACCCCGGGGCTTCGGGGAACAACTTGTACGCCTGAGGGGATCAGGAAATTAAACCAGCCTCTTTAATTAAACGACTGCTTTCACGGATACGCTTTTAGAACTTGTAATGGTGTTTTTATATCAATTTACGACAGAAAAGATTCTGTTCTGAGAAACGCAATTAGAAAAATGGGTTTTTATGCTTTTATTTCTCAAAAAAAAAGTGATACAGCTTCAGTATTTTCCCTTCAGCTTTATTCAAGCTGCCTCTGATCACAGTGAAAGGCAGAGAGAGTGAAACAGTTAGCAGGAAAAAACACCAGAAACGTCCATGTTCTGATTAAAGAGGGTATCCTGCTGCACCTCTCTCTCATTTATGTGCCACACTGCAAAAAATTAAATCTAAATAAGCCATTTAATCTTAAAATAAGTGTGTAACATAATCACTATGGTATTTTATTTTCTTATACATAGTACATTCCAGTGTAGAGATAACAAACTGTTTGGTAGAACAGTTATTATTTCTTTGGTGATATTATTTAAAATCTCCACTGGTTAAAAATGATGCTGTGTATTAAAATGCTGGGGGGGTTTTTTTTGGCGAGGAAAAAATTAGTTAATAAAAAGAGGCGTGGGCGTCGGCGTGCGCAGCTTGACCAGAGAGGAAGATGCACACTGTCAGATCTGTGCAGCGGGAGTTTTTGGTCGGTTGTAAGGGTGTAACTAATAATGGTTTTGTATCGATGCATCGATCCAACAGCCGACGATCCGATGCATCGACACGTCCGCAAAATAATCGATTCATGTTTTTTTTTTTTTCCTCCGGTCAATTTTATCCATTTGCTCCTCCTGGGCGTAATTCTCCTCCCGTGTTGCGGTGGCGCTAAACCTATTTTGCCCTCCTACCTTGCTTCCTGGTTATACTCTTACAGCAGTGTGTCGCAGTGAGCTTGACACAGACATTTTTGATTTTTAACATTGTTTTGTCTTTTGCCTCCCGGCAGGAAGTCATCCTGCAAACTGGATTTTTCGGACCTTCTCTCCCTGGAAGGATCAACTAAGCTTCAAACTGAGCTGAGGTTCCAAACAGGAGGTTTGGATCCACTTTCAACAAGAGATTGTTTGAGCTTCACACTGAGAAAGGGATTCATCTCCTCTACGACCCGTTCAAGTACCGCAGGAAATCTGAGTGGCAGTCAGCTTTCTCCTTTCACCTACAAACAGCCGCATTCTGGGTGGGCGGACCCTCCACCGAATCAGACAAACACTGGAACTACCGCACACAGACGGGAGTCAAAGCGTCAACAACTTCTCTGGAAACGTGAGTCAGCTACCAAATCCTCCTCTTCAAGTTCACAAATCAAATTTCCCACTGAGCCTGAACTAACCGCTGTGTCTTCCCCTCACTTTTCAGTTCCGGTTGAGCAGTGTTCAGAGCAACACTGGACTCTCCGCACCATTTTCTAATAAACATGTTAAACCTTTTCCCTGGTCTCCCTGTTTGGTCTTCTGCATTTGGGTCAGAACTTTAGTAAAATCATGACAGAAACGACACTAGCTACGTTTACATGGACACAAATAATCGGATTGAAGGCCTGGTCAGATCAAAAATGTTTCATGTAAACATGTCAGACTGAAGATTCTAATCCGATTCGGTCCGATCGGAAATAAATTTAATTCCGAAAGAGAGAGGTGGTTTTTTCCGATCGCCATTCCGATTGGCGTCCATGTAAACACCCATTCGGATCTTAAGAGTAAAATAATCTTCACTGCGCATGTGTGCAACGTCAGCGTGACGTTTTTCCGCCTTGTCAACAACAGGAAACCACCGGTCGCTCTCGCTCTCGTTGTGAACAACATGGCGGGAGGAGTCTAGGAACGCCGACTTATACACTCAAGTTCATTTAAAGCTGCAGGAATTTATCCTCCTCCTCTTCCTCTTTTCTCTCTCCACAGCTCACTCGCTCTCCCACGCCGGTTCAATCGCTCATTCTCTACATTTTCTCTCGGACATTTCGCTGCCAAGCGCTTTTTTCCTCCTCTCTCCGTTTTTCTTTCCGCTCGCTCCGAGCGCATCGTTTGTCAGGCCTCCCAAAAACCAGACGCAGACAGAACTGCCAAGTTTGGCAGGAAGTTCTGCGCATGCTTAAAAGATTTAATCTGATCCAACGCTTGGTACATGTATACACACGTCATGATCGGATCATTTCATTTAGTGTCCATGTAAACAGAGATTTTGAATTTCCGATCAACCAAGGTTTGGATCGGATCGGGGAAATTTTGCGCATGTAAACGTAGCTAGTGTCTAGGAACGCTATGGACAGCGGAAACATGCAAGAGGAGGAGAGTTAACTGGCCTGCAGAAGATAACGGAAAAAACCCCACAGATTTTAAGACAGGATTAAAAAAAATAAATAAAAAAATAGACAATATGGTCTGATAAAAAGAACATTTATATACACGTTTAAGCCAGAATTATCTGGCATTTAAATATTATTTCACTCCGACTTTTTAAATAATATTTGAAAAACAAACATTTTCACAGACCTTCAGATCAGAGGGTTATTTTGTCTGCAGTGCTAATATTTATATGCAAATTTTTAATACATTTGTATTGTTTTCAACAACAAAATAGATTTTGCAGAGCTGTGTGAGTGACTGGGTGATTACAGGCAGAGGCTTTGTGAGCATTTATTTCAGAGAAAAGCTGAACTCAATATGATGACTCAGAATTCATCACGGTGGACGGCTGATGGTATTATGTGCTGCCTATTCATTATACATCACTCATGCAGCAGCAGACGGGCCTCGGAGCGCCGGCTGAAATGGAATTTAAAAGGGGTGGATTCTGATGCAGAGGAAAGTTAAAAAAGGACAAACATGAAGCACAACGCATGGGAAATAGATGATAAATTTATTTAAATTTAACAGATACCAGTTATTTTGTTGTTTTTAACATTAAACAATTTGACCCTACTAGGTTATATTTAGCTAAAACCTTTAGCTCTAATTTGCATGTTGCATTATGAATGAAAAATGGCAGAATAATGTTAATTGGACAAAGAGCTAAGCTCCACAGGGACTTGTGACATTTCGGTCTGCATGAGGTAGACTGATAAAGAACCCTTGTTGTTTACTCATTAGAGAGAACAGGCAGCTTATAGCTAAGAGAATGCTGACAAGCGTCCGTTATCTTTGGCCCGTAGCAAACATCAGAACCTGTAGGGGAATAAAAATTTGAATAATTTGTTAATTAGCCGAATTTGCTTGTCAGTCTGTCTGTTGATGAATGTGGGCAGAATGGCTTTTAAAAATGCAGCCTTCATGTTTGTCTGGACTTTTGTTAGATGTGCCACAATTGTCCATTAATGGATATTTTTCTGTAATGTAATGCAAGGGCGTAGGTTTGATTTCAGCTTTGGTAGGGACAATATTCTTCAGTGTCATTGGTCCTTTGCAAAAAATATGCATGCTCTTTTTTATGCTTAAAGGAATAGTACACCCAAAACATGATTAGCCTTCATTTTCTACTCACCCCCATGCTGAACAACACTCTGGAGTACTTTTTTGATATCTCAAATGCATCTGGAGATCTGGGAGGCTTCTTGCTGTCTGCTGACATTCAAATAATGGAGGTCTATGGCGCCCGAGGCAGAAAGGTCCATAAAAGTCCACAAAAAACGTGTCAATATTCTTCCATACTGCTCGTCCAATGTATTTGGACCGAGCTGAATGTGCTGGTTTGGTCTGCCGGCTTCCGTAGCGTCGTGAGCGCGCATGTGCGCGCCTTCAGGAAATCCTATACACTACTGTTTATGCTCTAAAAACATTCTAAATGACTTCGTTTCGAGTAAATTCTGGACGCTACCCACTCAGGACACTTGGATTACATTGGACGAGCAGTATGGAGAAATATTGACACGTTTTTTGTGGACTTTTATGGACCTTTCTGTCTCGGGCGCCATAGACCTCCATTATTTGAATGTCAGCAGACAGCAAGAAGCCTCCCAGATCTCCAGATGCATTTGAGATATCAAAAAAGTACTCCAGAGTGTTGTTCAGCATGGGGGTGAGTAGAAAATGAAGGCTAATCATGTTTTGGGTGTACTATTCCTTTAATGTGAGCTTCAGGGCTCATTTTGCTTAAAGAGAACAGCAGCATTTCTTGCTACATTAATACAAATCTTATAAGCACTACATGCTCTAGATGCTGTTTATCAATATTTAAAGCATCACCGGCTCTGATGAATGTGGAATTAGGACTTTTTCCACTTTGAAAAGGATTGCATTTAAATTTACCTGCTACTAAGACAGTGTCTGTTTAAACAAATATAGTCTAAATATGTGGATTTATCTTGTGTTTTCTTCTGAAGATATAGAATTGTGCAGAGGTAAAACCCACTCTTATTTTTTTATCTAATATGCTCTCTCTGGATCATGCAAAATAATACATTCAAGGGACGGCAAATAAATGTATTGTATTTACATGTGAACTGGAACTAGAAGAGGAACTGACACTGAGCATTTAAAATATTATTATTAGAAGTTGTACATCTGGGCTGTAGTTACTCTGTGGCTGAAACAATTAATCATATTAACCATATTTAAATAATTGTGAATTAATTTAGTAATTGATTAATCGTAAACTGGAGTATAGGGCCACTAAAATGTGCCTTTAGCCGACAGAGCGACCCACTTAGAGCAGGAATTATACCAAGAATGTAAAAAAATTTTAGCATTTAAGAAGTAAAAAAAAAAAAAAAACATTTTTAAACCAATAACATTGACATAGAATATTGATGATGCTTTAAATACATTTCTATTTCCCACGGTTCCTAAATGCATCCGTTGGGATTATTTTGCCAGGCATGAAAGCTTAGTCATCATTCCACACCACTTCATCTAAGCCCCGCCCCCAAAACAAGAGAAAATGAGTTTAAGTTGATCACTAACGTATCAGCTCTACTAACGGTGGGCAGTTATATAGTAAAACTAATGCCAGGTATTGATCTGGTAAATTGGTCGGCTAGTTAACCCAGTTAGTTACTGGTTAAAGTTGTATGAAAAGGGTCACAGATAGAAGATCTAGTGGAACTAATTCTACATCCGAGATACTGTAGTTAAAGTTGTAGGAAAGCGGCTGTTCCAACTGTTGCATTTCCGAATTCTCCCAGTGGTGCCCGACTTTACACGAGTGAATAAAGTGAATGTGATTGGTCGATTATCAAGGGGGCGGGATTGTTGTGGCGGAAGGTTCGCAAGCAAGTTTGGTTGTGGCCGGTTTGTGGGAAGCATCTTGCTAACCAGTTAGCATCTTAGTGCTAGCAGGTTCCCAATGGGAAATTCCATTGGGACCAAGTAGCACTAAATTGGTGACTTAGAAACGACGCTGTCAAGGAACGCTATGGACAGAGGAAACATGCAAGAGGAGGAGAGTTCAGTGTCGGAGGTCGTGGATGAGTCTCCTCCGTCATCCATTTTTTATTTAGAGGAGGAAAGCGGGGATGAAGATGTTGTGGAAGAGGACGCCAGGGTGGCAGAAGTTTGGTTTGGTGTAGAAGGCTTCCAGCCGTACATGTTTGAGCCCTTGCCTCGCAACGCTGCCAGTTCTGTTAGCTCTACGCCTGCCGAAGACACAGACGTCCATCCCCGTGAACACTGGGACGGAACTCAATGGGAAAGGAAAGGATTCTGGTTTCAACCGTTGCGTATATTAGCTGCGACATTTGAATCAAGATGCTATGACCGAAAACATTTGATTGACAGATGACCGCTGATATATGATTGGCTGAATTTAGGTGTTCAGGCTGACGTAGAACTAACTGGCCTGCAGAAGATAACGAAGAAAACACAGATTTTAAGACAGGATTTTTTTTTTAAATACAAATTTTTCTTAACTTTTAGGACAATATAGTCTAATAAAAAATACATTTAGATACATGACTAAGCCAAGAAGATTTGAAATTTAAATTACTTCCCTACGACTTTAAGTACCTTAAGGAGAAAAAGGAACATCATTACAAGTTATGAATCAGCAAGGCAGCAAATCTCTCCGTTCCTCTTTCCCTGCCATTCCAAAAAAGTTAAAAACAATCCACTGGACTTTGTTTCCAAGTTTGAAGGCGTTTCGCTTCCCATCCAGGAAGCTCTTTCAATTCAAAATGTCAGAAATAGCGTTTAGTTCCAGACTTTATAGAGTGGACCAACAAAGCCTGGTTTTTGTTTAGAAAACATGCAAATAGAAACAGATGAACGGGTCCCCCCCTTTGGAATGGGGGTAGTTTGGCTTCTTTGTTAGCCTGCAATGCCCCATACCTGTCTATGTCTCTGAAAGGGGGTCTTTAAGTTTGGTTTTTCTTTCTTATCATAGATGGCTTCCTTCAGGCCCCTCTCAAACCACCTGTCTTCTTTGTCCTAAATGTGAACATTCTGGTCCTCCAAAGAATGTACTTTGTCCATCAGGTGTAGATGTAGCGCAGTGTCTTGTCCAGAGGAGGGCGCTCTTCTGTGTTGGGCCATTTGTCTGTGGAGAGCTTATTTGGTTTCTCCAATATAAAGATCAGATCATTCCCCACTGCACTGAACTGCAGACACCACTCTGCTCACAGTAGGTCTGTTTTTTCTTTTTTCTTAGGATGTACTCTTTCTACTCTTTCCCTGCCAGACATATCAGGCATTATAAACTTGTAAACTTGATTTTTATATCATCTTATTTTTGAAGCTTCTATGTAAGCGATTACAAATATGTCCCAGAAGACATTCCGGTATAATTGAAATAAGTTGCATCATATTTGCTTTATCTCGCTCCTTGCTGCTCCTATTGCTGCTTGGCTCAAAGACGAGGTTGTTTTAACTCGACGTTTTCCTCCCTATCCTGTTATTCCTTTAGTGAAGAATATTATATCAACACCAAACTGATAATATGCATTTTTTCATCATGGCGATCCAACGACCAACCCGTCCGTGGAGGATCAGGAATCAGAAAGGTGGAATAACTCTTTTTTTTTTTCACTTTTACCCGATGTATTCCATCATCCAGCTGCCATGCACGTGGGCATTGTCAGTTTCACTATAGCTCTGGTGAATTTCAATGGTGAAGTCCTCTGGAAATCTTCAATAATTGTTGTTGATTGCAGATGTGTCTAGTAGTTCCCATTGATTTAGCTTGGAAAGCGGGGAGAATGGCGCTAGGCTAACCGCACCGTGACGTCACTGCTGGAAGATGGCAGGAGGGAGGGGTTACTATATTTGGGCAAAAATGGCCGCTCCTCTGTGATCGCAACGAAAATGATAGTTTTTATTTTTTCATCTGATTAACACTAAGTTAATTAAATTACCACAAACGTATTAGTTTTAGGTAAAGATAGTGATCCATTGATTATTCCGTGCTGACCGGACTTTTCTTTAAGTTCTTTCCTAGTTACAGTTAGATCCTGTTTTCCCTGGTTATTCTTTGTTCCCCCCTTTTTAGTTGCGCCTGTCCACATCTGCTCCCTATTAGCTGATTAGCCGATTTATTGCTTGCTTCTCCAATATATACACCTCCTGTACAGTTGCTCTCTGCTGGATTTTCTTCATTTTTCCTGCATTTTTCTCCCAAGTATCTCCTGGTTTTGGTTGTTAAGTCTCCTGTCTGAAATCACATCCATCATGGCGATTCGATTCAGTATCGATTTCCTGACCCAACAATTCGATTATTTTCGATTCTATTAATTGGTTATTTTATTTTATTTTTTTACCTTACAGGCTAGACAATGTTTCAAATTTGAATTAAGTCAATGAAACTGTAATATCGTTATGCATTTTATTCGAGGAACAACAGCAAATAACAGAAGTAGCGAAGTTGTACTCCACCTAGGCCTATAAACCTCATTCACTTCTGGAACCCGAAATAGTCCCACAGAAATGACTTGAACCCGTGTGTACGTCATCTTCTTTTTCCTCCGCCACCTCTGTCTTGCCTACCTCTTCTTTCAGCTCCACTATCTCCGCCATGCCTCTCTTGCCTACTTATTACGTGAGTATGTGTGTGCAAGCGGAAAGGGGGTAGTGGCTAAAGGAAGTGAGGTAGGAGGGAATTAATTAATGCAGGACGTGGCGCTCTATTATTCCTTTCCCACTGGTCGAAAAACCACTTTAAACCGGGCTTTTAGTGACAGTGGGAACAGTGTGTCTACCCGGGCAAGTGACTCGTGTAAAATCGCTTTGACCTGAAAAATTACGTGATATCATTGAGAAGGCAACAAACTGACGTCAACACACCGCGTCAGTCGCATATGATCTAACAACTCTGTTTACATTTGATAAACATGGAGCAGCTCTGGTGAGAGGGATTCAGACAGATAATACAGAGAAACAATAACGCACACTGACTACTGGCTTCTTTACATGTTGCTCTCCATTGTTTACTTTCCTGATTTCTATCGCACTGGTGACATCATCAAAGCTAACCCAACGTGATGGTGTCATCAGACACGCAGCTGCCAGCGAGGGTTTAGACCGGCTTTTTATTGCTAGTGGGAAGGGAGCTATATTCTGATTGTTAGCGGGTCGACCCATGTTTGAAAAAGACGGGTTAACCCGCTATTTTCAGTAGCAAAGAGGCTTATGTTAGACAAATGGGCTAATGGCTACCAGAGACAAGGGAGCTATTACAGAGGCTTTCTGGATCTCCTTTAGAAGCCAGATATAATGAGCAGATCAGAGAACATGTAAACAATAATGTCATTTTAGCGTTTTTGAAATATTAGTTACTTTAGAAAGGAAGTTGAAGACATGTTAGCCTCTGGTCCTGCTAGCATTGGTATTAGCGTGCGGTCGATTGGTTTTTAAACAGACTAAAAACAAACAAAAGCTGAATTATTTAAATGGAAACACGTTCCCTGATCCTGCCAAACCTGTTCCCAGTGGTTACCTGGAAGGTTTAGCATGTTGCGGCTAATCTGCACGTGGATTTAGATAAATTCAATTCTATTCAGTTTATTTCTATAGCTCCAATTCCCATCATGTCATCTCAGGTCACTTTCCAGTTCACCAGATCATCCAGTCAGATTGATTCAAAGTTTTCTATCTAAGGAAAACCAGCTGATTGCATCGACTCATTGACTCTTCAGCAATCCCTCACACTAAGCATGCTTGTAGCGACAGTGGAGAGGAAAAACTCCTTTTAACAGGAAGATAAACACTCAGTTTAATTTCAAAGTCAAATTTAGATTATTTTTCACATTTTAACGCTCATCTGACAACCCAGTTATCTAGTAATATGAAATGAGCATCAGGTCTAAACATTTTTAGAATAGGGTCGTATACCAACCTTTCCCTCGCCACACTTTGTGCCGGTCATGACCAGCCCGGGGTCGGGGAGGTCACCCTGGCCATCCTGGGTGCTGTAAACGTACGTGCCGCGGCACTTCACCTCGATGCCGCCCGTCTTGACGGTCGTGTCGATGGAAACAGCGTTGGTGCCTTTGGGCTTCTTGGCAGCACTGTGACACTGAATCTTTCCACATTTGGCATCACTGGATAGAAACACAAACAATTTCAATGGTTTGTGATAAAAATGAATATGGAAAAAAGGAAGATCCATATAATGTAAACGTGTAATGTGAAAATGTTAATGAGGATGCTTGTGGAGTAGGATTTTAAATCAAATTTTTAATAGAACAAGTACAGTAAAAACAGTAAATAAACTAAAAGTCCATTTGAAATTATCATTAATTCAAACAAGTTGTGAGATAATTGAGAGGAAAACATAATGTTGACGGAATACGTTTTTAAACACAGGTTAGTGAGTCCGTCAGTTAGAAACAACTCCTCTATCGGTCACATGACTTTTTTTGACACAACACGGATTTGCTCTATGGGATCGACGCATGCACCGACGCCGCTGGACCCATCTCTTGTCATGCACCTCTGAATTTTTCCCTTTTTTCATTTCAGAAAATATGAACTTCAGACTTTTCACACACAAATAAATCATTACTTTTAAACTATGAAGGTAGATTTGTTTCTTTATTATTCAATGAAAAAAAATGTTGCTTCAATCAAAAAATATATTTTTAATAAAAAAAAATCTTCACTTCAAAGAAAAAAAACTTTTCAATCAAAGAAAAGAAGTATTTTAATGCAAAAATATATTTGAGACTCAAAAAAATACATTTGAACACTGCTTTTCTTTGATTGAAAATGTTTTATTTGATTGAAGTGCAGCCTTTTTTTGCTTCTGTCTCCTTGAACCCCAGTGGGCCTCAGCAGATGGCCGCTCACACTGAGCCTGGTTCTGCTGGAGGTTTCTTCCTGTTCAAAGGAAGTTTTTCCTCTCCACTGTCACTACAAGCATGCTTAGTTTTAGGGATTGTATTTGAGTCAATGAGTCGATGCAATCAACTGGTTTTCCTTAGATAGAAAACTTTGTATCAATTTGACTGGATGATCTGGTTGAACTGGAAAGTGACCTGAGAGGACATGTGTTGTGAATTTGGCGCAATATAAATAAACTGAATTTATTTGAATAATTTTTTGTTTAAAGCAACACTGCAAAAACAATCTAGAAATAAGTAAATATTTCTTAAATTAAGTGTATTTCTCCTTATTTTAAGTAGGTAAATGAGATAGTTTGCCAACGGAATGAGTATTTTTACTCTTAAAATAAGATATTTAGATAATATGCACTTGAAATAAGACAATGTAATTGTGTTTTCTTATTTTAAGTGTAAATTGTCTTGTTCCATTGGCAAAATGTCTTTTTTACCTCCTCAATTCAAGAACAAATGCACTTATTTAAAGAAAAAATGACTTATCTAGATTTTTATTTTTTCCAGTGAACTTTTTCACTGGAAAAAATCCAAATCTAGATAAGTCATTTTTTTCTTAAAATAAGTGCATTTGTTCTTGGATTGAGGGGGTATAGGAGACATTTTGCCAATGGAACAAGACAATTTACACTTAAAATAAGAAAACACAATTACATTGTCTTATCTCAAGTGCATATTATCTAAACATCTTATTTTAAGAGTAAAAATGCTCATTCCATTGGCAAACTATCTCATTTAACTGCTCAAATTAAGGGTAAATACACTTAATTTAATTTTAAGACATGTTTTACTAATTTTTCGATTGTTTTTGCAGTGCTTAATTGAAGTAACATTGTTTTTTGATTGGACCATAATATAGATATAATCAGGATGCATGACCTATACTCTACTCTGTCAATCAAACATGTCTGACCAATAAAGAAGAACCCGCCCACTGCGGAACATTTGTGTCAAAATTATTCAATCAAACAAATTTGAACTTCAAAAGTTTTCGCACTTCAAAAAAATATTTGATTCAAATAAAACAATTTGAACTTCAAATTGTTTTCACTACAAAAAACAAAACAAAAAACTATTTATTAATTGGGTAATTTTTTACATTTTTTTTGCATTTGCAGGTTTTTCTTTGATTGATTGATTTTTTTTTTTTTTGATTGAAACAACTTTTTGGGAATTGAATGATTAAGACACAAATGTCCTACCAATGTAGGACTAAATAGATCCCTTCAACCAAAGAGAACATTTTCAACAATAAAAAAAAACGCAAAAAATAATATTTTCTATGATTGATATCTTTTCATTGAACAGGGTTCGTACGGGTGCTGGAAATCCTTGAAAATGCTTGAATTTTCACATTGTGTTTTCAAGGTTTGAAAAGTGCTTATATTTTGGATGAAATGCTTGAAAATGCTTGAAATTATAACTATTTCTTTCGCAACAAATCCCTATCTAACTGAATCGTGTGTTTATTAAATGGAGAAATAAAATGTCGGAGAGCCCGAAAATGAAACCTGCTCGCTTATGTGTGACTGCGATCTGCCAGTCTATTTCCATGTGTGGCTCCGCCCCCATGAAACCACTACTGCACCATGCCGGGAGGTTGTCGTTTCAATGAACGTTGGCTGGAAGATGAAAAATACAAATTATGGATTAAACGGGGACAAACCCCACCAGTTGCCTCTTGTAAAGTCTGCAGAAAAGATGTGCAGCTTTTCCCAGTGGGCGAGTCTGCGCTGTCGAGTCACATGAAGGAAAGTCATAGACTTTTAAGTTAGCCAACTGAAGTAGCCTAGTACACGTTAACGTTAGCGCCTATTTGTTTATGCTAGTAACTGCTAGCTAGGAATTCACAGACTACGTTACTGAGTGACTGAGAGTACGGTGTGATAATGTAATGTTAGTATTGCACTGTTTCCCGCAGCACTATCTTGGCGAGGCGGCCGCCTCGCCAAATTCACGCTATCGCCTCGCCAACGTTCCAAAAAAAAAACAAAAAAAACCCCCGAAGTTTTAATTCATTGCCAGGCCCAGACCTTAAAACAGCATTGATAACTCTACGGTAGAGACTGACACGGGAGTGGATTTTCACTCCTGTCCCGTCCCACTCCCACAGAAAAAAATGGTGTCCCGTCCCGATCCCGGGCCAGAGTAGAAATCTAAATCCTGTCCCGTCCCACTCCTGGTGAAATTACTCCCACTCCCATCCCGCTCCCATTCAGAATGACTCCCACTCCTGCACCACTCCCATTCTTGTTGTTTTTGAGCGCGGGTGAAAAACTCAGAGCGGAAGTTACTATTGGTTTGCTCCCGCTCCCATCTGCTCCCGTTAATGTTTAATCCTGTACCGTCCCAATCCCGTGATCGTTACTAATACTGACTCCCATACCACGGGAATCCCACGGTAATCCCGTGACCCGTGGGATTCCCGAAAAAATGTCAGTCTCTACTCTACGGCTGATAATACTGAATTGCGACACCCTCTGGTTGGTTATAGTAATCCCCCCACCCCCCGGCAGTCATCTGCTCAAAACTGATTCCAGCCGACAACTGGTGGTGGTGTAAGGTGCTGGAAAAAGTTTTGAAATGGATCTTGAAAGTGCTTGAAAAGTGCTTGATTTTGACTTTGGAAAAGGTGTACGAACCCTGATTGAAGGCTGAAGCAACTTCTTTTTTGATTGAATAATAAAGACACAAATGTCCCATTATATGGTCCAATCAAAAAACAATGTTACTTCAATTAAAAATCAAGTAAAACATTTTCAATCAAAGAAAAGCAGTGTTCAAATGTATTTTTTTGAGTCTCAAATATATATTTTTGCATTCAAATACTTTTTTCTTTGATTGAAATTTTTTTTTTCTTTGAAGTGAAGATTTTTTTAATTGAAAATATATTTTTTGATTGAAGCAACAATTTTTTGACTGAATAATAAAGAAACAAATCTACCTTCATATTAAACAGAAAGAAAAATGTAACAGAGAGTTAAATATTAGTTCAAATTCATTTTAACACTTCATTTTTATTCAACCTCATCATTCATATGTGTCAATTATTTAATTAGCTTTTCCAAAACTATACTACTCTCAAGTCATCTAAGACAGATTGTAGTTTTAAGTTTTAACTTCTAACATCTTTCTAATCATATTTCTCTGATATTTACAGTCTCTAAAATACATGGAAAAATATGGCATCACTAGTCCTCCCATACACACACATTTAATGAAAAGCTGAACAGCTGGGCTCTTAGCCACGCTCACTGCACATGTCATTGAGAGCTTGACACTTGTTGGTCTCTAAAAGAGAAACAAGAGGAAAAAAAACAAAACCTCCAGAAAGATAAAGTGTTTGAAAGAAGCACACGATCTTTAGGACTGAGCCAAATAAAATCGATTCGATAAAGGAGCTACAGTAAAGTCTATTTAGAGCAAGTTTTTCTACTTCACTTAGTGAACTGCACCTGAAGGACGGATAGTGTTGCAGTTCAGGCGTCTCAATATCAGGCAGATTTAAATCTCCTCAATCAGTGTAGAAACACCGTGCTGTCAGAAACTCCTCCGTCTCTCATGGAGAACTCGCTAATGGATTCCGACATCGGCGGCTCCTCCAGAGAGCCATCAACCGCCATAATCCACGAGCTCATTAGCATTGCTAAATAGCTAAATTAGCTCTGTGTGGCTTGTGCGTTCAGGCTCCCTGTCTGTGGGTGCAAAACGGTCCAGAGACGAACCAAAAGAGAGAAGATGCAGGATGAATGAAGACGTGCAATCCTAAGATATCACCAAATACTCAATACACTGGAAATAACTATCTAGAAATAAGCAAAAATGTCTTAAATTAAGTGTATTTACCCTTAATTTGAGTCGGTAAATGTGATAGTTTGCCACTGGAATATCTTTTAAAATCAGATACTTAGATAATGTGCACTAGAAATAAGGCAATGCAATTGTTTTCTTATTTTAAGTATAAGTTATCTCGTTCCACTTGCAAAATGTCTGTTTTACCTCCTTAATCCAAGAAAAAATGCAGTTATTTTAACAAAAAATGACTCATCTAGATTTCGATTTTTCCCAGTGTAACTTCATTGCAAAAAATTCTCAATCTTAATAAGTCATTTTCACTTCAAATAAATGCATTTCTCTTTGAATCGAGGACGGAAGTGATGCACTTTACGATTGGAACAAGAGAATTTACATTTAAAATAAGAAAAAAAAAACAATCGCATTGTCCTATTTCAAGCTCATATTGCCTAATTACTTAGCCTGACGTAGTCCGACTGAATTCTAGTCAGAATGAGTCTGATGCTGCTCCATAGAGCTGTGATTATGGGGCGTGTTTTGAACGAACCAGGAAAAAAATGCCTCTGCACTCAATTGGATAGACCTACAACCAATAAGAGCAACGGAGTGCGTGACGTATGTTAAGCGACCAAGGGAGCCAGCTGATAAATTAAACTTTTGCCGAAACCCGTAGAAAAAACATCTTTCTTTTCAACAAATGCCTTGGTCGCGTTTCTCTGTTCCTCTTTTAAAATTAATTTGCTGTCGATATCTTCTAGAACAGACCTAATAGCAGAATCTACACACCTCAACTCTCCAGCGGCAGCCATTGTTGTTGTCACCCAAGCGCGCTTTGGTCACGTGGTTGATTACGTTACTGTTGATCATCTGTCCATCATCGTATAAAGCCCGCCCTGACAATTTGATTGGCCTGCCAGATATTGTGCTAGCATACTCGCGCTACTATGGAGCAGAGCCAGACCGAACTTCCCGACATCAAAGGTTGTGGGCGGGACTAAGTTCAGAATGGCACCCAGGCTACTAATTACTAGGGCTGGAGATTTTCCCCAAAGTTCTAAATCGATTAATTTCGATTCAATCTGTTTTTAAAATAGTGAAAGTGGTTCAACTGTGTTTCAAAATACTCATATATTTTATTTTTTCCTGTCTCATTAAACACAAAATGCAAACTTGTAAATGGGACAGTTTAAAAATGAGATGTGAACAAAACTGTCTCAAAAGTGCAAACTTGTTTGTGAAAAAGTGAAGCTTCACTCGAGCAAGGAGACGTGACACAGCAGACATGCATGAGCTGCATTATCTTTGCTGCACAAACCATATTTGCAGCGTTGTCTGCATCAACTACAGGGTGTTTGCTGGTCAGCCTCCATTTGTTAATGTCTTCAGTTAATCTATTGGCTATATTTACAGCTGTCTGGCTTGAAGTCATCTTGAGAGCATCTTTCCTGCTCATTTGAACGTGAACGTCACGTGCGTCACTATAAAACGTATCAATCTCATTTCCTAGACATCGATTTTGCAAAATGTAAAGGAATCGATTCAAAATCGATTAAATCGATTTTTTTACCCAGCCCTACTAATTACCGTATTATAAGAACAAAAATACTCATTGCATTGGTAGATTATCTTATCAACCTGTTCAAATTAAGGCCAAACACACATTTTTACTTATTTGCAGATCATTTTTGCAGTGTTGTAAGACTTTTTTTTTGTAATTGTGACAGATTTAAAAAAAAAAATTACAATTACAAAACACCAAAGTTACAAATAGTTTTGCAGCTGTAGGATATAATCTAATTTTGAGCAAAACTGAGGATGTTAAAATGTTTTTGGGCAGAATTTGTGTACTTGTATTTAAAATTTGAACAGGTGTAAAAACATTTGTACTTTTGATTTTTTTATTTTAATTCTACAAATACAAAACTTAGAATGTAATTCTCTCTACAACTCCAAATTCACACTTACAGTGCACAGATAGTTTTGAAACAAAATAACCTTCATACTTCCCGGCTTGTTTTGATTGTATGACCGCCATTTTGGAAAACGACTCATGAAGTTGGAGCAGCTAGCAGAGCGAGGTTCGCGAAAACATTGGGACCATTTTTCCACCTGGATCTCCGCTCTTTTTGGCCTTCATGTCCCTCCGTTGTCGCACAAACTTGCTCACTTCCTCACCGCCTCGGCCGTATCTAGACCCACAGCTAGTTCCTGATTGGCCCTCTGGCGTTGTGGCGTGGAATAACATAGCGCAGACCACGCTTCAATATTGGGCATAAATTAAAAATATCTGCGACACACTGCTGCAGGACGATAACCAGACCTTTAAGCAGGTTTATAGAGCAGATAGTAGAGCTTTAAAATAGGGATGCACGATATTGGGATTTTGGCCGATATCCGATATGCCGATATTTTAAAACTCATGTAGCCGATAACCGATATCGATACCGATGTTAAAGCTGAACAAAAATAAGTAGTCATTGAAAATAGCAGTTTTGTTATCCATTTCTGACACTTTGAAAAATAATAAACTCAAATATATTTTCATATGCTGATATCAAATTGATTTTTAAAAACGCGGTATCGATCTATTTTACTTTCAAAATCTGGTGAAATTTCATCGTTCTGTTACAAACTCTCGTGATATTTTGCAAATTCTTGTGAGATTTTGTTAGTAAAATAGATCGATACCGCGTCAATATATCAACATATAAAAATATGGCAAAATATCGTGAATTTTCGGGGGATTTCGTAGCATAACGATGACATATAGCAATATTTCATTAGTAAAAGAGATTGATATGGTGTTTTTAAATGGCAATATATCAGCATATGAAGATATTGGGATATTTTAATGGATCAATATTTTTTCCCTCGTCTTTAGAAGTTTTTAAGTCTGTAAAAAAGAAGTTTGAGGGAGAAGAAGAAGTAGTATTTTTTTTTTTAGACTTTAGAAACTCAGAAGCTGATCAAATATCGGATTAAATATCGGTGGGGTGGCTGATGTCCGATATTCAGTTTTAAGGCCGATACCGATAGGGGGCCGATTATATCGTGCATCCCTACTTTAAAAATTGTTCTAACCAGCCCTGGTCTTCCCTAGCAACACCTATCATGAGTCTTAGCTGTTGTGTTTTAAAAGTTTTTAACCCTATAATGCCAAATGTATCATATTTGATACATACGGTTTCTGAAATGTTTTGCGTCTGACACCTTTTGCATAATTTAATGGTAAAAACTTTGCTCAAAATCCAGTTGTACACAATCAGATATACCTGATAACAGAGGGTAGAAGACTACACAAAATTTTTTTTTGACTTATCGCATAGTAATAAATTGTTAATATCAAAAATTTATTTCTGTTTTTTTCTTTTTACATATTGTCTTAAAAGGCCAAATAAGGACTTCAAACCAAAAAAAAGTAATTTTCTGTTTTGTTTTATTCTTGGATCGGGCTTTAAAGGGTTAAAATCTGCCGACATCAGGTGCAGTTTACAGACTGACAACGGCTAGAAAATGAATCTTGCATTCTACCACACCAATACGAGTGGAGAGGAAAGGGGAAACTTTAGCCCCTGCTCTTCATGAGGTTCCAATTTAACGTCAAGTACCTTAAACCTACTTCACGCAAATCTTACCTTTTATCACACTTTTTGTAGTTTCCGTGTTCGTCTTTCCCACAGTTCCCGAATGCGTTCCCTGCTGCGTTGACATCTTCGAAGCAGGCATCATGGGCTGGTCGCGCTCCTGGAACAGAAAACCTTCCCCTTAATATGTCTTGTTTTTTTAACCCTACGATGCCCAGCCAACATGCGCTGGTCATACAAAGAAAAGCAGGAAGTGATTTTTTCTTACCGTAGCCCCAGAGCTGCAGGCACTGCTGTTCATGGGTTAGGCACATGCCGTTGTAGCAGTAGGCTTTTCCGTACTGGCAGGAGGAGCCGTCCAGCAGGTAGACGTTGGCGGGACAGTAGGGAGAGGCCCCGGTGCAGTACTCTGGCAGGTCACATGACCCTGCCGGCCCTCTGCACATGGTGCCAGCTTGCTTCAGCTGGCAACGAAGGGAAGAGACCAGCAAACGACAGATTAATTTGATAAATCAATTAAAAATAGAGGGAAGCTTAATTATTTTTTTTTTTTTTTATCTGAACTCAGTCAATGTTTTACAGACAAAAATGAAAAATTCCTTTCCATGTCACCCCAACTAAGGTTTTTAAACTAAACCTTAAACGCATCTCAAAAAAGTTCAAATCAATCCACTGGACTTTGTTTCAAAGTTTGACGATGTTTCTCTTCCATCCAGGAAGCTTTTTTAATTCAAAATGTCAGAAATAGTTTTGAGTTCCAGGTTTTATCCAGTAGCCCAACAAAGACTTTGCTTAGAAAACAAGCAAATAGAAACGGATGAACGGTTCAACTAATGCTAATGCTAATATATGGGTTAGAATGAGTACTTGTGTTCAAATATGCTAACAAAAATATTAGCAAAATATTTAGCATATTTGCTAATATATCAATTTATAGTAACCCAAATAAAAAAAAATACAAATACTATTTCATGATTATCAAAATTTTCTTTAAATTTGCTAATATTTTGCACATTTGCTCATGCTAATTATCGTTAGCTAATGTATAGAAAGCTTTGACTAGCAATAGCGACTGTGCTAACTCAAATATTAGAAAATACACCATCCCAAATATCATCAAAGCATTTTTTATATTTGCTAATACATGGTATGTTTGTAAATTCTCGTTACCGTAAAAATATATGCGCAAAAATGCAAAACGTTTTATTAGCGTTAGCAAAGTTTGACATAGACAGGCTTTGGGTATTACAGGCTAACAAAGAAACGCAACGACCGTATTCCAAAAGGGGCGGAGCCGTTCGTCAGGTTTAATTTGCATCTTTTCTAAGCCAAAACAAGGCTTTGTTTTTGGTCCACTCTATAAAAGCCTGGAACTCAATGCTATTTCTGACATTTTGAACTGAAAAAGCTTCCTGGATGGGAAGAGAAACGTCTTCAAACTTGAAAACAAAGTCAAGTGGATGCCCCATACCTGTCTTTGTCTCTGAAAGGGGGGTCGTTAAAGGGAATTGCTGCTCTGGCTGAATAGGCAAGGTCTTCTGTTCCCCCGTAAAGGGGGGGGGGGGGTTTGCGATGATTAAACGCATTTTAAATAGAGCTGGAAGAGCTCATTCTGAATAATGAAAAAAAAATCCTATTTTCTAAAGACATTTTTAAGCATATATAAAAACCTATAGGGACAAAACTTAAACAGTGGAAGAGTAGGTATATATGTTTAATAATAAATATTTATTAAAAGCTCTGTTGTTTCTACGTGTCTTCTAAAGTATTCAGTAGAAATTAAATCGGTCCTATTAAGTTTGCAAATATAGACAGCTGTTTTATTCAAGAATATATAAATAACTAGATACTGTTATAAATGGGTTAATAATACATATTCAATAAAAAAATAAAATATACCCATGAAAAACCACAATTAAAAATATATCTTAGCCTATTGTGTTATTTGGTTATTCGTTTATTTACCTTCAGATTTATTTATCTATAATTTAGTTATTAAGAAATACATGTATTTGCAAATGAATTTTTAATTAATTTCCTAATTGTGTTTTATTTTATGACACTTTTATTTTGTAAAGCTATTCTGAGTATTTGACTTTAATTTTCTAACCTTTGTGTTTGTATTTCAGTCTATTTTTATTCAATATATCATGTTTAATAAATATTCAAATCTGGAAATATTATGAATAAATACAAACATTTTGAAATGTTTATAAATTTAAGTATATTTTAAAATAAATTCATCTTAAAATCATAATTATTGAAGTAATTAAAAGAAAATATCTTGGTATAGAAATAGATAAGTCTCAATAACAACTAATCATGAAGCAACATTAATATGTTGAAATAAATAAAGTGATAAAATTTGCTTAAAATGTATTTTTGAATATATTTTTTTAAATGCAGGAATAATTTCTGGAATATTTATTATCAAATTATTTATATTAATTATTTATGTATTGACATCATTTTGGATGAAATGGCTCTCCATATATGGCAAGCAATGTGTGAAACATGTAAACATCAAGGTTTTTATGTCACCTAAAAAGCACCTGTCATTCATCCTGCAGCCACGGCATAAAGAAAGCGGCACATTCACACAGAAAGAAGGAAGACACGGCTTTTCTTCTGCAAACTGCTTTCTCTTCCTATATCTTCAGCGCTTTGTCGTCTGTCAGGCTGCGGCTCAGTAGAGTCTGACAACAATGATCTGTGTGCTACAATGAAATGCAAGGACTTGTATTTCAAAAAGGCGTCGCTGTGATGTGAAGGTTAGGAGCCGTGCTGAGACAGACGATGAGACGTGTTACCGGTGCGGCGTGTCAATCGGCTGACATGGAGACTGACGGCGAACTAATGATACTGAGCTGCTGCTGCTGCTGCAGGCGGATGTCTCTACAAACCGCGCTGGGAGAGACGCGTGCATGTTTCTCACCTTACAACCGTCGCAGCACACTCCGTGGGCGCACTGGGCCCCCTCCTTTAAGGTGCAGTTGTTGGCATTGCAGCAGTCGTTTTTGCACTCCTGTAAATGATCACAAGCACAAGGTAGATATTTAGAAGCTCAATTCATAACACATTGGTATTCAATTCAATTCTATTCAGTTTATTTCTATAGCGCCAATTCACATCATGTCATCTCAAGACACTTTACAGTTCAACCAGATCATCCAGTCAGATTGATTCAGTTTTCTATCTAAGGAAAACCAGTTGATTGCATCGACTCATTGACTCTTCAGCAATCCCTCACACTAAGCATGCTTGTAGCGACAGTGGAGAGGAAAAACTCCCTTTGAACAGGAAGAAACCTCCAGCAGAACCAGGCTCAGTGTGAGCGCCCATGAAACATTATCTGACATGTTCTGAATTTTAGAACATTTGCAGGGTAGGTTTGAAGGGTTACGGCTGTGGAGTGAATTGTTTTTATCCTTTATTGCAAACAAAAAATATGTTTTTGGAAATGGACATAAAATAAAATAAGAAAGGAAATTAAGGTGAACAATAAAACGCTTCCCGTTGATTCATCCTCCGACCAGCTTAAAGACCAACGTTCCTTAACAGACCAGGAAAGCACTGCTTGGTCAAGATTTTCTAATGAGGCGTCATAAAACCAAACAGATATTTCCTCAAAGTTATGAGGTATGAAAAAACTAAGGAGCTAAAATCATGTAAAGTGATTCTATTCAGTCCAAAACAGTGAAAAAATAATCCACTGGACTTTATTTTCAAGTTTGAAGACGTTTCTCTTCCATCCAGGAAGTTTTTTCGATTCCAAATGTCAGAAATAGGGTTTAGTTCCAGGTTTTATCCAGCAGCACAACAAATCCTGCTGTTTGCTTAGAAAACATGCAAATAGAAACAGACGAGGGGTCCCCCCCTTTGGAATGGGGGTAGTTTGGCTTCTTTGTTAATGTGCATTTTAACTAGTTTGCAGTTGGCAAACTACTTAAAGTTTACTACTGCCACCAACTGATAAGGAGCTAGACAAGGAAATAAGACTCGCCCACCCCCCGAAAAAAATATATTTTTAAAAAATCTAAACAATGTATGTATAAAAATTACATCGGCAAAATCTCTAATATTCAACAACAAAAAATACATAGTTAAGCAAATTGTGCAAAATACCAATTAAAGAATAAAAATATCTGATGACACACTGCAGATATATTATGATCTGACGTAATTGGCCTACAAATCTGGCCTTCGGAGGACGCAGCCTTTGAATTCGAATTCAGCCATTGACTCTTCAGCAATCCCTCACACTAAGCATGCTTGTAGCGACAGTGGAGAGGAAAAACTCCCTTTGAACAGGAAGAAACCTCCAGCAGAACCAGGCTCAGTGTGAGCGGCCATCTGCTGAGGCCCACTAGGGTTCAAGGAGACAGAAGCAGACATAGAAAAAGAAGCATAGATACAAAAGGCAACTGTCAACCAGCTCCACAGGCGGCCCCGTCCAGGAAACACACAGCCAGGCAGACGAGCTCCGAGCCAGCTCCCATGTCAGAGGATGAAGAGAGCACATCCAGTTAGTCACAGTCAGAGAAACAGGACTACACTGGAAAACAGGCCAATCTCCAGCATCTAGTAAGAGGCAATGCTGAGTTCAATTCCCTTCATATTTATTTAGAGGAGGAAAAACCATCATCTGATAAACGCTTGAAACGGGTCCCTTTGTTTGTGTTTCTCCAGCAGCTCTGAGAACTGATCTTAGATCTGAAGAGGATCCTGGATTGACAATACGCTGTGATGGTGAAGATTCTCAGTCATCCAGGTCGTAGTCATTCCAAAAAAAGTTTTTAAAAAAATCCACTGGACTTTGTTTCCAAGTTTGAAGAGGTTTTTTTTTCCATCCAGGAAGCTTTTTCAATTCAAAATGTCAGAAATAGCGTTGGAGGCTTTATAGAGTGGACTAAAACAAAGACTTGTTTTTGCTTAGAAAACATGCAGAAAAAAAACGAAAGGGACCCCCTTTGGAACGGGGGTCGTTGTGTTTTTCTGTTAGCGTATAATACCTGAAACCTGTCTATTACCCAATTTACACTACCCTTGAAAGACCGTGCCAGGACCGGTCCGAGCTCAGTAACTGAGATAACTTATCGTGTGTAAATGGAAAGAAAACTGAACTGAACCGAGCTAGACGCAACCGGACCGAGATAACTGCAGACCAGTTCCAGAGGTGGGTTCGGCTCGGTTTTTCCCTGGCTCGGTTCTCTGATAACAAGAGCGCATGAGCAGAACGCGTCATCTCCATCTGGCTGCACATCGCGATTCACACTCCATTCCAGTAGTTGGCGCTAATGCCCCTCCGGAAACAGAAGAAGAAGAACTTCCTCTTCAACTATAAATAACAACCGAGATCTTCTCCACGCAACATTTTAAATAATGACACCGAAGTACAGCAATAATAATCAACTTTCTGAATGTGAAGGGTGCCGCCATTTTGATTTGCTTGATTCCCTCCTTCTTCGACTTCTTCTTCTTGTGTTTTATGGCGGTTGGTAGGGATGCACGATATAATGGGCCCCCTATCGGTATCGGCCTTAAAACTGAATATCGGACATCGGCCACCCCACCGATATTTGATCAGCTTCTGAGTTTCTAAAGTCTAAAAAAATAAATAAATAAAAAATACTACTTCTTCTTCTTCCTCAAAATGTTCTTTTTTACAGACTTAAAAACTTCTAAAGAGGGAAAAAATATTGATACATTAAAATATCCCAATATCTTCATATGCTGATATATTGCCATTTAAAAACACCATATCAATCTCTTTTACTAATGAAATATTGCTATATGTCATCGTTATGCTACGAAATCCCCCGAAAATTCACGAAATGTTGCCATATTTTTATATGTTGATATATTGACGCGTTATCGATCGATTTTACTAACAAAATCTAACAAGAATTTGCAAAATATCACGAGAGTTTGTAACAGAACGATGAAATTTCACGAGATTTTGAAAGTAAAATAGATCGATACCGCGTTTTTAAAAATCAATTTGATATCAGCATATGAAAATATATTTGAGTATATTATTTATCAAGTGTCAGAAATGGATAACAAAACTGCTATTTTCAATGACTACTTATTTTTGTCCAGCTTTAACATCGGTATCGATATCGGTTATCGGCTACATGAGTTTTAAAATATCGGCATATCGGATATCGGCCAAAATCCCAATATCGTGCATCCCTAGCGGTTGGCGAACAACTTTTGGTGCATTACCGCCACCAACTGCTTGATTTCCTCCTTCAATACTGGCAGTAATACCGCAGATCGTCATTAGGCGGCGAGGAGTCGAGGAACCGAGATAGCGTGATGTGTAAACGGTCGTCAGAACCGAGCTCGGCCTGGTTAACTGATCCGAGCTCGGACCGGTCTTGGCATGGTTTTTCAAGGGTAGCGTAAATGGGGCTATTGTCTCAGAAAGGGGGATGTTAAAGGGAATTGTTGGCCTGGCTGTAGAGGCGAGGTGCTCTGTTCCCATGTAATGGGGTGTGCGATGATAGCGGGAAGAATCCTGTTATCATCGCAACCCCTGAGCCATCAATCTTTGGTTTCTTTTCCGTTTTGTGTTATATTTAAGCAGTCTTTAGTTGCTCTCTGTTGCTGCTCTGTCTCCTTTCCCCTACCTCCCTTCTAGTCACCTCCATCCACACCTGCTCCATATTATCTGATTATCCCAGTCTTGTTCCGCCTCCCGTTATGTGAAGCGCTGAAGAACTGTCTCCCCGTGCAGTTCTTCAGTGTTGGTTCCTTGTTGTTGTTAGTTGTTTACTCATCTCTGGCTTCCCACATGAGTTTTCCTTGATGTTAGCTGTTTTTTGTTCTCAGTATTTTCGTGTTTTTGGATTTTTGCCTCCGTTTTTGATTAAACCTGCAAGAACTCATCTCTGCTTCACTCATCTCTCCATTTAGGTCCTCAAGCAACCTCACGCCCCACGTTGACACTTAGGCAATTTGAAAATTGTAATGGGACGTCTAGCCCTATTAGAGACAATTTATTTCTATAAATCATAGTAGCTGGCAGAGATGGGAAGTAACGCAGTACAAATACTTCGTTACTGTACTCAAGTAGATTTTTCTGATATTTTTACTTTACTTTACTACTTATTTTTATGGCGACTTTTTACTTCTACTCCTTACATTTTTACACAAATATCTGTACTTTCTACTCCTTACATTTTAAAAAATTGGCTTGTTACTTTAGTTTTGAATCATCTCAATGGAGTTACCGTTATTATTTTTCACGTCATCAATACCAAATTCAATCTAATTGGATGGGAATCTACGTTGCATTTGACGCACCACTAAAAGATTAATCGACAGATTCGGCGGTAATTGCTCCATACCGCCGGCGGTCATTGGCGGCAAATCATTGCAGCTTGGTGGCGGTGGCGTTAGCATAGTAGCATGGACGACGAGATGATTGGAAATGAACACAACGGAGATCTAGTCCTATTGGCAGACATCCATTTAAAATGTAGGCAACGGCATGAAAAAAGTGGTTTCTACTTTTACTTTTATACTTTAAGTAAATTTACAAGCCTGTACTTTGTTACTTTTACTCAAGTACGGAAAGTGAGTACTTTTGCCATCTCTGGTAGCTGGGTGCAGCTAAACTCTGCCTTTTGCTAAACAGCTAATTGCTTTGGTTCACGTTGAATACTTGGATTCTGATACGTAGAGTTTGGTGTGAGAGGTGGTGCCGGGCGTATTCGACACCTATTAAGTAGAGATATCTAACTAGAAAACGCCAGAGATGAGAGAGCAAGTTCCAGAGCGGCGAAGGCTTGACAGCTGTGACTGACAAGTCCCCGACCAACAGATGTTGAAGGGGAAGCGCGCAAAAAAGCAAAACTGTTCAAAGAGACGCCTTTGTAGCGGCTCTAGTGTCACACAGCATACACAAAAGACATCATCATCTCCCGTTGCCATGGCATCCTTAGGGAGAAGCACAGTTATGCTCAAAACAAAGCTTGGAGTTGACTCAAGCAAGAAAAAGAAAAGCCAATTAAACCA